GGTTTATGTAGGGTTGAATGGGGAAGGTTGAGTTCTTGTGGTAAATGGAGGAATTGTATTGGATCAATGTCTCGTGCTTGTGATTATCTAGGACTAGAATAGTTCGTGATGACCAGCCTTTCCTCATTTTCTCTTCGGTCTTGTGCCAATATTATGTATTTTATATATAATAAATATCCAAGTTTTGATTAATGCATTTCTCGCAGATGGTATCAAGAGGTTGTAGGCATCCGGTAGACGCATTATGCTATGCCTGCTACGAATTTATCAAGACAAGAGAAAACAGCGTGGAACAGTTTGGTTTCTGGGCTTACTGGGGAATCAATCAGTCAGTTATGTGCCATAGATAACACAAGCTTCGGCGATCATGTAGGCAGACGTTTTCCTGCAGTATTTTGACCAGTTGAAATCCAAGGCTTTAGAACCCGGTCTGTCCTGATATTTACCCATAATTGGGGAGAGAAGAAGATTCATACCTTTCCCAAGGGTATTAGCACGTAAGTGAATGTAAGGGATTTGACTGGAATTCGAACTCGGCTCTCCAATTCCTCAATCCGAGCCGCTATCCATTACTCCACCGTACCTCCTCCGCGGAATCCCAAAACCGAAAACTATGTGGAGCTTGTTGACACCCTGGTGTACAACTTCGATAAAATGGGCTGCAGGGTGTCCTTTACAGTCCATGCCCTTGACGCCCATCTTGATAAATTCAAGGAGAACATGGCGCGTCCTCAGAAGAGCAAAGTAATCGCTTCCACCAGGATATACTGAACTTTGAACGTCGCTACCAAGGATCGTATAACGAAAACATGATTGGAGACGATATGTGTGCTTATGGGGAGGGGACTGGTTCGTGAAAGTAATTTGCAGTATAAGCGGAAAAACTACTCCTAATTTTTTGTGGTCACTTTTGTGTAATCCGAGAATAAATAAATGATACTTTTGAATCATGTGCCGTTTTCTTCCTTCTTTGTGCGTACGAGAATGTTCACATTCGCCATTCGCCATGGGAATAGGTAAATATCATTATCCTGATAACAAAATCAAAGTTTGAAGAAAATCAGAAGCAAATAGGAAATAACAATTACTACCCAAAGACAAAAAACATGTTACACAGTGTAACGCATCGTGGTATGACTCTTGGTTATTGTCGGATAGTCTTACTGTACAGGTTAAATACATCCGTTTCAAAAACGCATCTTTGTTTTTTTTTGTAATCATTTCACCCCAAGCAAGGCAACATGTGTTACGGTTTTTTGGGTATATACCATAGACTAGTGAGCGAGTCAAAATGACTTATTTCCCTTTATAGTCGACCAATAGAAGGTTGTCCAATCAGAAGCCGCCCAACACTGTATCCGTCGTGTATAAAGGCGGCCATCTTTGTTTTTTCACCGGAAGGACCAGAGGTAACTTGTCCGGCGAACATGACGGAAGAACTACGCTCTGCTGCAATATCCACTGCGAACCTGCACTACGCTTTCCTACTGTCTCCGAAATATTCACTGTCAACCTCTGGATTCTATACCCGAGGACGACCGTCATGAAAGTGTCTAACAACATGGGCTATTAAGGCGAAATAGGTTACTAAATGTTAGAGAATATGAGTATGTGGTATTGTGTATGTGGTATTGCGGTATATGATGGAGTAAAAGGCGAAGGATGTCTTCTTTTGGTATTGAATGAATGGGTCGTGAATCGGATTAGCGAGGTATAGGGTAGTTAATGATGACCAGCCTCAACCCACTCCTCACTTTCTTGGCCATATGCCGCAATTATTGTATTTTACAATAATAAATATATACTTCAAGCTGAACAAGTGAAGACAATTCAGCATTGATTCATTCGTTACAAACGATATCAAAAGGTTGTAAACATTCTGCAGACGCATTTTGCTATGTCTATAAATGCTATTTTTGAAATATTAGCCATTTTTAATCTTACTTATTATAAAACGCAGATTATGTGTGTGTCTGTACGTTTATACATTGGATCGGATTTCCTACATTTTTCAACCGATTTCAACAAAACTTCACAGGACTACGTAAAATTACCTTGCGGTGGTTCTGACAGCGCCAAAAATTGGAAAAACACAATTGCTTTTGCACGAAATCAATTTGAAAACACGATAAAACACGATTCTGTCGCCAGAATGAAAGGGGGACGACTCATATCGAGTTATACTTATTATAAAACCCAGTTTGTGTATGTGTGTGTTCGTTTATATATGGGATCGGATTTCCTACATTTTTTAACCGATTTCAACAAAACTTCACTTTTTTTGGCATGTAGCGTTTCTTATTGTCTTGCACACTTTTGTCTTTATTTTTACATTCAGAATGCTTTAAAAATTTCATTTTAAAGACAATTGTTTATAATAAAATTCTATTCAATCAATAGACTCATAACGATTGAAAACAATGTTTTTGTTTGAGTTTGGGTTTGACCAATTCGTAAAAAAAAAAAAACTAATTAAGACATGCGTGTCCGTCAACCTTAAACAATAATCTTTGTCAATTTTATTTTTCAGTCTTTATGATGGTCGATACTTGATCTATCTCTTACTGTTACATCCCCGGGCAACGCCGGGCTCTTCTGCTAGTACTTTCTAAGCGTAAGCAAATAAGAAGTAATAGTTGCTACTCAAGGGTAAAATTCTTGTTACATAGTGACCAACGCTGAAATGAATGACGTTTAAACATATATTTTTATCATTGTATATGATGTAAGATTCTTAATAAGCAAATTCCCAGTCGACGGAGCTTAGAATACGCAAATAGCATCGTCTGCTGAGCTCTATGACCCCTTACAAAACTAATGGATGCATATTTACATACAATGAATATAAACTGGATTTATGATTAATTTTTTTAACTCTAATATGAAGGAATAAATGTCTACCATTTTGACTCTGGGGTAAACGGAGCCCATATCTAACTTTTTGATCCGAAGGTAAACTCAACTGATGTTTAACCTTTTGATCCGAGAGTAAACTCAACCGTTGTTTAACTTTTGATCTGACAGTAGACTCAACCGTTGTTTAACCTTTTGATCCGAGAGTAGACTCCACTGTTGTTTAACCTTTTGATCCGAGAGTAGACTCAACCGTTAACTTTTTGATCCGAGAATGAAAACCGTTGTTTAACTTTTTGATCCGAGAGTAAACTCAACTGATGTTTAACCTTTTGATCCGAGAGTAAACTCAACTGATGTTTAAACTTTTGATCCGAGAGTAAACTCAACCGTTGTTTAACCTTTTGATCCGACAGTAGACTCAACCGTTGTTTAACCTTTTGATCCGAGAGTAGACTCCACTGTTGTTTAACCTTTTGATCCGAGAGTATACTCAAACGTTAACTTTTTGATCTGAGAATGAACTCAACCGTTGTTTAATTTTTTAATCCGAGAGTAAACTCAACCGTTGATCTATGCCTAAACATGTGACCCCATGTAAAATGGGTCTGTGTTTAAACGGGGCAATCTTTTTAACTTTTTTATTCGAACTCCCGGTGATATGACACATTTCATTTAAAATGCTCGTGGCTATTATTAATTGAAACCTGACTCCTGTATGACACATTCGCATCGTCACCATGAATATGACATATATATATATATATATATATATATATATATATATATATATATATATATCGGAGGTAAATCCAAGTAAAAAAAGATATTCAGTAAGATTGAAGAATATGAATTAAAGTGTAGGCGTTATAGAGTAGGATTCATCTTCCTTCTCTTCCCTACTACTGTGACAATGGGCTGTTCCTACTTATAAATATGGCAAGTAGTCACATTAGAGTAGGATTTGAGTAGTAGTTGATTTACTCAAGTATTTCTCTTCTATGTATGAGTATTTAATAAACCACTCCTTCTTTGTTTCCTCTACATAGCTGCCGTCTATTCCTTCAATACTCTCTCTAACTCTGGCCTTCATGATTCTATTTTGAACAAAGACAACATTACAACAAACAATAAGCTCGAGTTTTTGCCTCCATGTAAACCGAACCTATATCTAACTTTTTGACACCAGTGTAAACGAAGCCTATGTCTATCTTTTTGACTGGGGAGTAAATCGAACCTTTGTCTAACCTTTTGATCCTAGTGTAAACAGGATCTATCTTTTTATGTCTGTCTTTTTAACCTAAGAGTAAGCTGAAACCTTTTCTTTTTGATCGTAGCGTAAACCGTGTCTCTGTCTTTTTTTACTCTAGTGTAAACCGTTCCTATGCTTTGCATTTGGATTCTTCTATAAACGGGAGCCATGTCTACCTTTTTGTCCCGAGAGTAAACAGTGCTTATATCTAACTTTTTGACTCTTGTGTAAAACGAACATCTGTGTACCTTGTGGGGTTCAATCACATCATAGCAGCAGATATTAAATATAATGTTCACGGAGATAAAAGTATATATAACAGAAAATAAAACGTACAGAAATAACAGGAAAATCATGGTAAATTGTATCTTAATTTCATACAATTTATTTATATTTTTGTGTGTATTTGTGTGTGTGTTTTAGGTTACAATTGTTTAATGGTAGATGTGATAAAAGGGAGAATTTACTCCGTAGTATTAGATGCCTTATCACAGAGAGAAGTTGGACACGTGTTACCCGTACCAAGGTTCGTGGTGGAGAGATTTAATTAAACGTCTTTTGGCGGGATGTTCGTATTTCCGACAGGAACGTTTTTATTTTTTTGCATACTGGGAGTATTTTATTATTTAATTTTGAATTTAATTTATTTTATTATCATAATAATATCCCTACAACCTTCTTAACTTAAGTGTAAACCTCTCACACGTCTTTAGTGTAAGCTAGATCTATGTCTACCATTTTTATTCTACTGTAAACAACACATATGTCTTCTTTTTCACTCTAAATACAAACCGGGCCGTTACCGATCTATCTGTTAATGCAATGTAATTTTTGCCCTATAAGACTTATATTCGACATTAAGTGTTCTGATCTAACGCTAAATCGATCGACTTAATCCGGTTATCGTGCGATCACCGAAGTTAAGCAACGTCGAGCCTGATCAGTACCTAGATGGGTGACCGCTTGGGAACAACAGGTGGTGTAAGCTTCGATGTGCGGGTAGCGTAATGGATAACGGCTTGAAATTCTTAATCGGAGAGCCGAGTTTCAGCTCCAGTTGAGTTCGTTATAACCATTTACTCGCAAATAACCTTGGGAAAGGTATGAATCCATCTCTTCTCCCCCAGCTGGTATTTAAATTATTTTATTATCATAATAATATCCCTACAACCTTCTTAACTTAAGTGTAAACCTGTCACATGTCTTTAGTGTAAACTAGACCTATGTCTACCTTTTTGATTCTACAATAAAAAAAAAAAACACATGTTTTCCTTTTCACTCTAAATACAAATCGGGCCGTTACCGATCTATCTGTTAATTAGTAACATGTTTAGGTTGATTAGTAAAATGTCTATTACTAAAATCATTATTATCCTCCCCCAAAATAAAATTGCGCAGAAAATATTTAAATTTCGGAATTAAATATAACGGTTAATATGCCACTGAACAAAAAAAATGCTAAACAATCAGCTTAACTTTCTTGATTGGTTGGTTGATTTTGTTTAATTGCATATCAAACCCCTTTCATAAAAAAATAAAATAAAAAATAAATAAATCTCCATAGACTTTACCATTAATACATCTTCCGTTTCAAATTGAGACACCCCACCTTTCACTGACTTGACATCTACGAAAGTAACTCTATACTGATAGTTCATTATTAACACCCAACACCCGCCTACCCAACAAACAATTCGCCTAGCTGTTACCATGGAAATTTTGATTTCAATTTTTAAAACACGTAAATTTAGATATACGTTATTCAAAAAAAATTCGCAATGGATGGAACAGAGTTTTATTTTAACTCAATTTAATTTAAATAATTATATTGAAGTTTTCGGTCTTGTTTTGAAATATGAGACTTCTTATTCGCGATTTGGAATCATATTATTAAATAAATAATTTTATATATATATATATATATATATATATTTAAAGAAAAACACAGACTATATATATTCCCAACAATAAGATGCTTATATTTATTTATATTCTGGATAAGAAACACAGAATTTCATCCTCCTTGGGATTTTCAACTTAATATATAAACATATATATATATATATATATATTTGGTTGGAGAAATGGGTTTATTCAAAAAAAAAAATTGTTAGCTCTGAAGATGATATATAAATGAAAAATAAATCAATATATATGGCTTGTATTTTATAGAAAATAGAAAAAAAAAAAAAAATCGCTTGATGGAACAGAGAACCTCTTGTTTTTTGATATGGGACTTCTTATGTCGCGATTTGGAATCATATTTTTAAATAATTTTATTATATATATATACACACACTTTCACAACACACACTCACACACACACATCACACGGTCATATATATATATATATATATATATATATATATATATACTGCGACCATGGGATTTTTATTCCAAGGAACGAAATGCAGCCTGTGACTCAAGGTTTACAAGTGTTAGAATCATGAGTTAAAAAAATACCTATTAATTTTAAAAAAGAAATAGAAATTATAAAAATAAGACAAACGACTGAATTAATATGATTTTTGTTGGAAAGGAGAGATCAATGGGCCACAATTTGTGAAACTATCATAGAACTTACGGTACATCTTTTCTTTTAAAAATGATGGATCCTCAATCTACGCTCAGCCTGGTTGTTACCAAAAACGTTTTCAAATCATGTTCAAATACCTTATCAGATCAAGACTTTTAAACACTATATTATTCGGACTATTTGTCCTCATTTTGTCGCCATATTTATTCAACGTTTTTGTACGCTCCCGCCTTCTTCATTGAGTCGAACTGAACCCTTTATTTCGCTCACTGGGGTAGACTTTTTTGATTCTATGTGCGATGTTTAATAGATGTCAGCTTATATCCTGTCAATTCCCCTCTCCAAGTTCTCCAAACCAGGTCTCATCATCTAACCAACGCCTTTATGTGTCATATATCTGTGTTTAATTTTCTGGGTATATAAACAAATTGAATTTTGCTATTACCAACATGTTTTATATAAATTTTTGTTGTTATATAAAAAATGGATCCCATATATATTCATTTCTATATATATATATATATATTCCTTTAAACGTAAATGGTATCTGAACCTGATCCCACAGAGGGTGGTGATTTTCTTATAAATTGTTTTAAAGATGTAAACATTGAATTTAAGATTGAATTTCAACTAAATCAGCTGCTAAGTCAATGAATGACAAATATTTCCCTGTTCTTATATCAAACTGGAAACCCCAGATAATATTATCTTACCATTTCACCTTTTTAACGATCTGACATAAAATAGATAACATATGTAATTCAGAAGATTAATAATATATAAGATGTCCGAAGTTCATAGTATGGAAAGAAGCTACTGGTAGTTTCAAACAAATTTTATGTAACTCGAAAAGATCAATTTATAGATGTTTTAAGTTCTCAATTATCGTTAGATACTTAAGCGATTGTATTTTCTCTTGTCATATATAAAAGAAATATATATATATATATATAATTGAACATAGAAATCAACACTGAAACAAATGGATATCATATGTAACAAAAGAAAATAATAATATAATAATGAAGATCTTCTTTCATTTCTAACAAAAGGTTAGATACTGGAAAGAGCAATCAGCTACTGGACTTGAGAAACCTATTTTCTTGAAATAAATGGCCTATGACGATTGCAAGATCTAGCATATTTCTAACAAAAAGGTTAAACTGGAAAGAGCGATAACAGCTCTGACTTGAGAAACCTGTTTTCTTGAAACAAATGGATATCATATGTAACTCGAAAAGAAAAATAATAATTAATCATGTTCACACTTTATAAAAGGTTAGATACTGGAAAGAGCGATACGCACTGGACTCTATCTGATATTGAGCACTTTAATCCATAAATATAGCACACCTTAAGACTATATTTTCTTAATATATATATATATTAAAGAAAAATGGACAAAGTCCGACAATTTATTTATTAAAACCTATTTTCTTGAAAAAATTTTTTATGTTTAACGTTCTTTTATAGATAATATTATCACTACCATTTCACCTTTTGGTGTGATCTGACATGTGTAAAGATATAGCATAGTATTTAGTAAAATGATCTGTTTATAATAAACAGTATTAAATAACATTTACAGGCCTGAATGTCCCGAGAATCTGATATTGAAATTTTAAAATATAGAAAATATTCGTCCTATTGACAGGATTCGAACCTGCATCTTAATACAGTATTAAATAACCATCATTTTAATAGAAAATATTCGTGACATGCCTTTGGAACCATCATTTACTCGGACATGCACAAAGGACCGTTAGGTTAGCAAGGTTGAATATAAACTTCAATCTTCCATGAATCTTTGTACATTCATAACTGAATGTATCAAATGTAAACAAATGACGTCATATATATATATATATATATATATATATATATATATATATATATATATATATATATATATATATATATATATATATATATATATATATATATATATATATATATATATATATATATATATATATGTGTGTGTGTGTTCCGTGTTCTGGGGTATATTTTCGTTTCAACAGACGTTCAAGGCAGTGACAGTACAAGCACTCATCATGACTGCAAAACATTCATTGTCATGTCGAGAGATGCTTCCCAATGTGCTTTTCCGGGTCTCGCCGAAAACCTTTAAGCTTTTATTTATGATCCATATTGTCTACTAGCGTCAGCGGAAGCAGTTTATGTGTTTTGTGCCCCGGCCCTAATCTATGATAGAACCCCCCACCACCTCATTCTACTACATCTTAAATTTCATATAAAATACAAATTTTATTGTAAGTTAATAATGTACAATAATGGATCATATGGAATAAAGGTGAACAATTTAACTAGGAAAATCGAAAATAAATACAATGTAAATAGAAAATAGAGTATTTAATTTCAAGGCGTCCTGGGTATGACGTTAAACTACACCCGAGTCCTGGGTATGACGATAAACTATGTCCAACAGCAAGGAAGGCCTCGGATGGTGTTTTCAGAAGAATGTTGCCAGCTATACGTTTTTTTTGGAAAGAAATAATGTTGCCAGCTATACATTCAATTGTGTACTGTATATTTAATATATATATATATATATATATATATATATATATATATATATATATAAACTTAATTTGGCATTAAATGACCTACAGTGGTTGATATGCCATAAAACCCAACTAACCAACCAACTTCATTTCAAGTAATTCAACGGTAATTTGTGGCAATTTTAATATCAACTTGAGATTTTTCGTGTTAAAAAGTTAAATAATTTAAACACATTCAAGATTATGAATAAAAAAAAAATGGCGAACTTTATATAGTGTTCTTTCGAGTCTTAGCATGAGTAAAACAAATTCACGGATTTGGACACAGAAAAAAACCGCCTCAGAATGACGTTAAAATCCGTGAAAATCTTTCATCCTTTAATCGTCAGTTGGGCTTAGTTTAATTTGAAATGTATATAAAGGTATGTAAGAAAAAGAAAATGTTGGTAAGAATGCAAGGGTGACAAAGCAATGCCTGCCCCCACTCAGACTCAATCAGTTGTCTCTTCCCACTCACGGTTGGGGGTTCGAGAGTGGTACACACCGGTCCTAAGCGGCAGTAGAGTAAGGTCTGTGGGGCTGCTATGAAATGCAACTGAAATTAAAATGGGTTTCGTTTGATTTGTTTTTATTTATGGCATATCAATCTTAGTGGGTTATTTAATGCCGACAAAATTTTTTATTTCTGGTAACGTCTTTTCTCCAAAAATGTATAGCTGCTAATATCTATTTTTTTTTCAAAAACGTATTGCTGGTAATAAATATTTTTTTTACAAAGTATTTATGGTATTAAATCCTATTTTTTTCTCTTACATAGTGTTTTGACACCAGTTTTGGAGCTAACTATTTACCCATAGTTCGAACCCTAACAGGTGCTACAACCCCGGGTTCAGAGTGGACCTGGGAACACCAGCATTAAGAAGTG